CTTAAGGTATGAAGCATGGTATCCAGCCTGCCAGGGAACTTCTTCCCCTCACCAGTCCTTGGCCTTTCGCCATGTGGGGGCTAGATATAGTGGGACCATTGCCAACAGCACCGGGCAACCGGAAATTCTTCATCGCGGCCACAGATTACTTCACAAAGTGGGTTGAAGCTGAGCCCTTGGCAACCATCAAAGAGAAAGACGTGAAGCGATTTGTCTGGTAGAACGTGGTCACGCGGTTTGGCATCCCCAAGATTTTGATCTCTGACAATGGCACCCAGTTTGACGATCGCTTATTCAGAGGATTTTGTGAAGATTTGAAGATAGAATTCTACAACTCCACCCCGGCTTACCCGCAGTCCAATGGTCAATCCGAAGCATCAAACAAGACTATACTGGATGGGTTGAAGAAACGGCTGGAAAAGGCCAAGGGCAAATGGGCTGAGGAATTACCTAGCGTCCTTTGGGCATACAGAACAACCCCGCGACGTTCCACCGGGGAAACTCCATTTGCTTTGGCTTACGGCATGGAGGCGGTCATTCCCTTGGAAGTTGAAATGCCCACCCTCAGAAGTGAGAGTTTTGAGCCCGAGCTGAACACCGAGGCTATTGCCTTGGAGTTGGACCTGGTGGACGAGCGTCGGGAGAAGGCCCTCATCCATGTGGCCGCCTACCAACAGGAGCTCTCAAAGAAGTATAACAAGACGGTGCACCCCAGACCGTTCAAAGTTGGTGATTGGGTTTTGAGAAAGATTATGGGCAACACCCTGGTGCCAGGAGAAGGCAAACTAGGGGCAAATTGGGAAGGACCCTACAAGATCACTGGTCTGGCGGGCAAGGGGGCTTACCACTTGGAGGATTTAGAAGGAAGAGCAATACCCCGGCCATGGAATGCGGCCAACTTGAAACTGTATTATTTTTAAGCTTCTGCTTTCTTTTCTTGTGCAAAGAAATTTTTTGGCTTGCACCACAGCATGTAATTCTTTTTTTCAATTTATAGAAGAAATTTTGCTTTAGCACTTGGACTGTTGTTTTATTGCTACAGACCGAGATGATGTATTCCGGTTGGAAGAGTTGGTGTCTTGTCCAACTTTGGATTCCCAACCGAGATGATGTACTCCGGTTGGAAGAGTTGGTGTCTTGTCCAACTTAGGATTCCCAACCGAGACGATGTACTCCGGTTGGAAGTGTTTATTTGTTCAACTTTGGTACAACCGAGATGGGTATATCGGTTCATGAATTTGTTTTGTTATGCTGAAGTGCTTCGACCGTGTTATGGATTCCGGTCGACAAAGTGTTCAAACGATGAGTTATACCGAGATATTTTGCTGAAGATGGAATTGATTACTACCGTGCAAACACTTAGGAAAATTTGAGTTTCTTATTGAAAAGGAAAATCATTACAAAAGGTGGGGACAGAGCCCGGTTACATCAAAAGAGTTGGAAGCAAAAATACAAAAACAAGGAAAAAGAGAACTAAACTAGGGGGGAGAGATTGGTGAACTCGTCCTCGCCAGCATCAAGGTTGATGGTAGGACCGACGTCTTGGGCACCGGGCTCAGCATTGCCGGGCTGCTCTTGCACCTCGGCCTCCTCTGCCTCAGAATCTGTGTCATCCTCTCCATCTTCAAGTCCTTCCTCGGCCTCCGCTTGCAGAGCGCTGAATACGTCGTTGGCGTAAGGCACAAGGTAGACCGGTAGCGAAGCTGGAGGAGGGTTGGCAAATACGTCGGTGTCGGAGCCTTGGCCGAGGTGCTCGCAGGCAGACTTCCAGCCTGCTTTGAAGTAGATGTCTTGCGTTGCAAAGACTTGCTTCTTGTAGCTCTCCTCGGCCTCGTTAAAGCCGGTGGTGTTTGCAGCCCGGCAAGCTTTCTTCTTCGATTTCTTCAGTGTAGCCACCTCGGTCTCGAGCTCACTTTGTTTTTTCTCGGCCGCATCCAGCTGGCCTAGCAGTCTGTTGTTGTCGGAGTTGGCCATCTCAAGGGAAGACTTAGCCCGGCCGAGCTCGGCTTGAAGGCTTTCAACCTGGCTGGCTGTGTCGTTGGCTTTCTGCCTAAGTCTGTGGATACGCTCCAAGACCAGGTGTTGTTTTTGAATGGCCTGCAAAAACAGAAGCAACGTTGATTAGATAGGAGACCGAGCAAAGAGGGAACCGAGCAAACACTTGTGAAACTTTCAAAGGAACATCGACTTACCCTGGCCATAGACTTCACCGACGATTTGACCAACCGAGTGTCGGGGACATGGTCGCTGCCGACCACGTCGCTCGGTAGTAGCAGTGCTTTGGACAGATCGAAGGCGAGCAGATGCTCTTTATCCGCCTTGATCGAAGCCGTCGCCGGGATATCTTGACCCCGGTGCTTCAAATGTGGGCGCCAGGCCGGCACTGGGGTGGGGGCGTCTGTTGGGTGCTCGGTGGTAAGCTCGGTGACTAGCACGGCGGACGGGTCAGCCCGAGCTCTTTTTCCGGCACGACGTGCAGAGGGTTCTCGGCTGGATTGCCCGGCGGATTGAGTGGCAAGGGCGACCACAGTGACACTGGATTGATCGGCGGCTGGCGATCGGGTTACCACGCTCGGCACCTCGGTGGATGTGGCGGTGAGCAGGTTCTTGATTCGACTTCTTTTGGCCATTTCTTGCTCGTCTGTTAACCGGATTAACGGGACATCGGGTAAGGTTGGATCTGGCGGTGGCGAAGGAGCTCTGAGGAAGTCGGTTACTCTACTCCGGCGTGGAGCAGAATATCTGTAAGTCGGGGTGTAGCCGAGTAAGTCGTTGCAATCTCGGTGGGAATACCGAAGCACGGTCCGAATGGCCTCAACGTTGGGAAATTGATAATTGGCTTCCAAGGCTTGGATTGCTGCAAAAGAAACAGGAAAACCGGTTAGTTACAGAGTAAAGAGTTAGGCTGACCGAGCAAGTTTGAGTGGCTTACACGAAGAATCGAAGTCCTTGTTTATAAACCAGCCCGGCACCTCGGCTGTTTCATAGTTGCCCGACACCCAGAAAAAATCGTCGTCGTGAAGATCTTTATCCGGGGTGCCGGTCACAATCTTTTCTTTGCCCGGTCTGATCTTCAAGTAATAAGCCAAACCGTCCCCGGTATGTCACTTAAGCATGAAAAAAATATTACTTTTAATAATATATATGATGGGTTTTCGTTTGTCTTTATTGATTTTTATATATATATATATATATATTACCTTTTTAGATACATCAAGATTACATGCATCTAAAAAGTAAAAAGATTTAACTAAAATATGCAAACAATTTACTACAAACAAAAATTCAAACAAAATTGCACACCGATTTTGTATGTTGTAGTGATTTTTAAAATATTTTTATTCAATTTGTTTTACTTTTTATATGTATTTGATTAGGTACATTTAAAAAATACAAAAAAAAAGAAGAAGAAGAAGAAGAAGAAAGATTAAAGTATTAAAAAAATAGTAAAAATAAATAAAAATTCATCTAAAGACAGTTTTTGAAAAATTAAACCAAACAAACACTGTATTTGATTTAATCTAATTTTCATAAAAGTGAGTGATTAAATTTTAATTTATTGTTTTCGGAAAATTTAAAGACTTTAGACAGATTAAAGATTTCCAATGTTTAAAATAGGTAATCAAACCAAAAATTTCCCCAACACACATCATGATTTGGCTTTACACACAGTTTATGTAATTATTCAAAATTTATCTTCAATGATGTGTTTAGTCACATTGCTCATTGCTAATGCTTTTTCGTTTTATTTTAACCTACACTACACAACCAGCTTCCCTGGTTGAATCTTCATAACTTATTTTTGAATTATTTTAAAAAAATAAAAATTAATTTGAGAAAACTAAACGCAAAAGTGATATTTTTAATTTTTCAAAAATTATTTGCATTTCAAAAAGAGAAAAAATATATGAAAATAATGAATTTTTTTTATTTATAAAAAAAACAAAATTAATTTTTTTCACCAAATTAGTTTTTGAAAATTTTTTAGAAAAAAAAATGTAAAAACTCAACTAAAGTCCCTCCCATTGGACTTTTAGGTTGTCTTTAAATCATTGAATTGAAGAGGGCAATGGAAAGAGAAGGAAAAAATATAGTGAGTGAATAGTTATGTTTATTATTTATAATTTTCATTTCATTTTCTTTTTTCTTGATCAATTTAAGATTCCAACGAAATCATATTAAAAAATTGAATTTGATTATGGTTTTTATGAACCTTCTATACACTATGGATCGGTTCTGAGAATCCGATCCAAATTTGAATCATCCCATGTTGTTTAAAAAATTTGATATAATAATCCTATTAAGCACAAATTCAATAAGTTTGATTATTAAAGGGCTGGATTTGGATAAATCCAAGGGGAAATTAGTCTAAGGTCCCTCTCCCACTTTTAGTAATGAGAGAGGTCCACGATTTTTTTTTTTATAGTCTAAGGTCCCTTCATATATCACGCTGAGTCTCTCATTCACTCTCTCTCTGTCTCTCTCTCGTCAAACCCTTCGTCTCTCTTCTTTCTTCGTTACATCCATGGCAGAGAGATTAAGGGTTTGGCTCGACGGCGACGATCACCAACACTCCTACTAAAGATCTTCTCACTGTTGTTGCGACCGATTCCATCTCCATTCTCGTTGAAGCTGTTACAAAGAAGTTTCTAGAACTCTGTGGAGAACATATGGATCTTGCATCAACAACAGCGATGTGAACGACATGTTCACCCAGGCGCCTTCCTTCGGGATCAAATCCAGCTCCGGCAAGGTTGACGCATCACAACCAGCCTAAGTGTTTGAGAAAAAGTTTAAGAGACATAAAGAGCTTCTCAAGAACCTCACTGAAGCTACTGTGTAGCCCAACTGTTCAAGTGTTATGAATTTTCAATCTATGGTACTTTCTGTTTGCACCAGTAACACAAATAATTAGTTGGTAATACAAATAAACAATGATGAACAACTATGAGAGAGAGGATTTTTTTCTTCCCCTTCTGTTTTTCACTCTCATTGTGCTGTTTACATTGTGAATTCTTGTTGTGATGCTTTGTGTTAGCTTTTTGATCAATTTTCTCTGGTTAAGTCAAAACACAATTTTCTTTGGTTCAGTCAAAATACAGAGAAAATTGAGAATAAATCAAAGAAAATTTTATTCTCTTTCTTTCAACTTAATTATTTTGTCTGACACTGGACCTTCTTCGTTTAGAAATCCATTTGAGTGTTCGAATACCCAACATTTTTCATCTCACGAACAAGTTCACATTTTGTTTGTAGGTTCCTTATCTATATTTTGGAATACAGTACCTTCTCAAATGTAATCACGTGTTACTTATGTAGGTACTCTTTTGAATATTTAGATAGGGTTGAGATAATAGTTGCCCATATGGTGGGTGGAGTTGATGCTTCCCTTAAGATGTCTCAAGGTTGGCCAGTGTCAAATCATGCATTAAAGTTGATATCACTCAAGCACTCCAGTCAATATTCAAAGGAAATTTCACCGAGCTTTCTCTGCAAGGTTGAGGTGAGCTGTATTGTCCATTTTGCTCTTGCTTTAAACGAATAAAATCATTCACTTGACTTCAAAAGTGATCTTTCAAAAGGCACCTCTTAATTTGGGTCATCTTGCCCAAGTTGTTAAACATAAATATGCATTACTCTCCAAGAAATTTCAGCAATATATATTATTTTAGTTCATTTTTTCACTATTTTCTTCACCTGGTTTGTTTGGTCTGGCCACATGGCAGTACTCAACTATGCATTCAAACACAAGTTCATTTACTGTCCTACTACTATATTTACAAACTTGTTGTATCCTTAGTCCAAAACCAGAGAAATTTTAATTTTCTCTGGATTTTTATGTGCTCTCTCAAAGAAATTTGTGTCTGATTTTATAATGCTTACACATCTCCAATACTAGATATTTAATTCATACATGAATGGAGAACTCTACAATTGTTCTAGAAATGTAACTTGAAACGTGTATAGAAACATGCATATTCATCTTCCACTCTTTAACTTCCCTGTAGGATGCATGAATCAAGTTTAATTTTAAAAATAAATAAATCTAGTGAGGTTTGAATTTAAAACAAATTAGATTAATTGTTACTAAATAGGATTAGATTTGTGCAGACTTGACAGTCAATTTTGATAATCTATCATTGTTTCTGGTTAATAAAATTTTTATTTATTTATAGTTATTCTTGAAAACCCATCATTGGACCTTCTTCAGTTCAAGAAAAACATTAGCTTCATTTCATACAATCCATGAAATCCTAGCTACATATGCTATAACAGAATCATATAACTTTCCCATAGTGGATATGCCAATTAATTCTTTTCACTATATACTATGATTCAATTTATGATTCTGCTGATTGTCTTCAAACTTAGTGAAATTTCAATTTTCTTTGGTTTGAACCCAGAGAAATTCTCTACATGTAATTTTGTGAATTTTCTCTGGATGTGGCGGCGGAGGAAGAGGAGGAAGAGACTCGTCGTCATCATTGACAGCATTGAGATCAATCAAACCACACATCTTTGTGGGGAAATTTTCTAGAAGAAAAGAAACTGTGGAATTGAAAAGAAATGGAGAAGAGATTGAAATTTGTTCATATATACAAATATAGATATACTGTGAGCAAATCAAATTAAATTTTCTCTGGACTGTGTGAATTTTCTCTGAATGTGGGAACTGTGTGAATTTTCTCTGGTTGTGATCATTGTTTGTAATTTTGTGAATTTTCTCTGACTGTATAAAATTTCTCTGGTTGTATGAATTTTCTCTAGTTGTATGAAATTTCTCTGGTTGTGATCACTGTGCGAATTTTCTTTTTCATTTGAAGTTGAAACCAGAGAAATTCTCTGGTTTTTGAACTGAATTTTCTCTAGGTTGAAATCAGAGAAATTCTCTGATTTTTTAACTAAATTTTATCAGGGTTGGCCCAGAGAAATTCTTCCCAGAATTTCTCTGGACCAATTTTCTCTGGACTGAAATTTCTCTGGACCAATTTTCTCTGGACTGAAATTTCTCTGGACCAATTTTCTCTGGACTGAAATTTCTCTGGACCAATTTTCTCTGGACTGAAATTTCTCTGGACCAATTTTCTCTGGACTGAAATTTCTCTGGACCAATTTTCTCTGGACTGAAATTTCTCTGGACCAATTTTCTCTGGACTGAAATTTCTCTGGACCAATTTTCTCTGGACTGAAATTGACTTTAGACAGATTAAAGATTTCCAATGTTGAAAATAGGGGATCAAACCAAAAATTTCCCCAACACACATCATGATTTGGCTTTACACACAGTTTATGTAATTATTCAAAATTTATCTTCAATGATGTGTTTACTCACATTGCTCATTGCTAATGCTTTTTCGTTTTATTTTAACCTACACTACACAACCAGCTTCCCTGGTTGAATCTTCATAACTTATTTTTGAATTATTTTAAAAAAATAAAAATTAATTTGAGAAAACTAAACGCAAAAGTGATATTTTTAATTTTTCAAAAATTATTTGCATTTCAAAAAGAGAAAAAATATATGAAAATAATGAATTTTTTTTATTTATAAAAAAAACAAAATTAATTTTTTTCACCAAATTAGTTTTTGAAAATTTTTTAGAAAAAAAAATGTAAAAACTCAACTAAAGTCCCTCCCATTGGACTTTTAGGTTGTCTTTAAATCAGTGAATTGAAGAGGGCAATGGAAAGAGAAGGAAAAAATTGAATAGTTATGTTTATTATTTATAATTTTCATTTCATTTTCTTTTTTCTTGATCAATTTAAGATTCCAACGAAATCATATTTAAAAAATTGAATTTGATTATGGTTTTTATGAACCTTCTATACACTATGGATCGGTTCTGAGAATCCGATCCAAATTTGAATCATCCGATGTTGTTTAAAAAATTTGATATAATAATCCTATTAAACACAAATTCAATTAGTTTGAATATTAAAGGGCTGGATTTGGATAAGCCAGTATTCTACATGGATTTCAATATAAATATATTGGTGGGAGGTAATTATTCACTACTACGTTGGAGGGGTTTCAATATAAATACATTTTTTTACTTCAAATTTTATGAGACTGGCTCAGCAAACCCAAGACTCCTCCTTGGAGGGGTTTTATAATCTCATGGCACTTGTACACTTTTACAAGACTCCTTGTCTACTAAGTAGATACTGGGGTGACAAAAGAAAAAAAATAATTGCTTTTCGGTGAGTAAGAAAGTAAAACATATGATATAGAAATATGAGTATTTTTTCTCCCTTTGTATTCTAATGGTTAATATTCAGTCTGTTCGGTTTTAATTTTTTGAATTTAGTTTTTTAAAAATTGATTTTTTTTTTATTTTTTTTGTTTTTAGTGAATATTTTTTAAAATTTTAAGCAATTTTTTTTACTTTTTTAAATGTATCTTACCTAGATGTATCTAAATAGTAAATTATTTGTGAAAAAATATTTTAAAAAATTAATAAATAAACAAAAATATGAAAAATGTATTGAATTTTTGTATTTTTTTTTTGTATTTTTGGTATTTAGTGAATTTTTTAAAGATTTTTTTACAAATATTATATTTTCTAAGTGTATTTATGCTGGGCGTATCTAAAAGTTAAAAAAAAATTGCTTAAAATATTAAAAAACATTTAGTGAAAACAAAAAAAATATGAAAAATGAAAAATATAATTTTTTGAAAAGTAAATTCTGAAACTGGAAATAAACAAAGTGATCGGTATTATAAAAGGGTAAAGTGCATTGACCTTCCCCAAGGTTTGAAAAAAATGTAGTAAATCCAACAAATTTGGCATAATTAATTGGAACCCTTTAAGGTTTTAATTCATATGATACTTGGCTCCATTTGCATCAAAAAATGGTTAGTCGTATGGATGAAAAAAATGATATTGTCATATTTTGTATACTAAAAATATTTTATATATATATATATATATATATATTTATCTTTGTGTCTGTACATAATTGACATTAGTTCTAATCTTTTTAACATTACTAAACAGAAAGTCGATATAATTATTTCAAAACAATGAGGTCAGTGTATTTTCTTCAAACCTTATGGAAGGTTAGTGTAATTTACCCATTATATCAACTGTGGTGGGTAAAAATCATCACACCTGGCTGCGGCAACGACACAGTGGTAAATGCTAGACTTTTGACCTGAAATATACACACAAAAAGGTAAAGGGGGTGGCTGGAGCAACTTAGGGCACCTCCGATGCCTAAGTCAGTAATAAAGTAGACAAAGGTGCAGTATATGTAGAGTAGGGTTCAGGTTAAAGTGGTTGTGTACCTTCATTGTGTTGATTAACTCCCTTTTATAGCTTGCTCTCACTAGTCATTGTGGGCTGTTAGGCTTTCCTCCATTCCTCACGTCAACCCCCTTTCCTTAGGGATTGTGTCCCACCAAGTGCGGATTTCTAGGAGTCGGTTGGACCTAAAATAAAAGGGATGTGTGTTTGACTGTGTCCACTCTTTCTTAAGGCATGCTTGCTGCTTGCTTTCCTCTGTCCTTAAATTCCCCTGACCTAGTTTAATCCCGGACCTCCATACCAGACTCAAATCATCCAGGGCTGAATTCCCAATCTGCTGGTGAAGTCACTTTCTTGCCATGATTACCAGTCTATGAATTTTTGCTCTACCTGAACTTAATTTATTTTAGCTTTCCATAATTGTTCCCCAACTCCGGCTTTTTTTCTCCTCCTGGGCTGAAAAAAAAAAGTTAGAGTTTTGACTGCCATTGTAAGAGGTTTTGTTCGCAATTCTAGGGTTTCGTGCGAAACGTTTCAATTTTCAAATGATGGGGGTGTCCTTTGTCTGACACATCACCTCTATATCCGGACATGTGGTCTCAGGCCATTAGTCCCAGATTGACACGTCTGCCAGACGAAGTGATATGGACGTCTGTTCATAATCATTTTGGTGTTATACAATTTCCGCCAGAGTCCATTTTCCCTTAGTACTCATTCGTTCTTTCTAGAGAAAAGTAAGATAGAAGATTTTGACTGTAATACTTTCGTTCTGGTGATTTTTCATTCCAATCTTGTTTCCGGCGACTGTAATTCTCTCTTTTTCTCTCTCTCTCTCTCTCTCTCTCTCTCTCTCTTATTCCTTGATTTCGTTCTTTTTCTAGTTTGTTAGACTTATTTATTTTGATGATTTATTTAATTAAGTTTTAATTTATTTGAAAGAGAAAAATAGAATCCAAAATTTATTTTGATGATTTATTTAATTATATTTTAATCAAAATAAATTTATTTTGTCCCATTATTTCTCACCTAAACATTTATCCTAAATGTTGTTAGAATGTATTTAATATTTGATTAAATTAGGAGTTCAAACAGTCCAAAATAAAGGTTCAAACAGCCTAGCACATTTGTAGCCCAAAAGGTTCAAAAGGTTCAAGTTGAAGGAATTCAAATTTGGAATGATAGAGTGGAAGATATTTAAATTGGTAATGATGGAAGTACAACGGCTATAAACGGCTATAAATTCAAATGACTACAACGGCTATAAACGACTACAATTTTTATTATATATACCAAAGCCTCTAATGTAAACAAGTTACAAAAAACCTGAAAATATTTTTTGATCTATAATCACTCACATCTATTCTCAGAAATTATACACTGAGCCTTATAGCATTAAGCTTATCTTTCCTGTGTGAGATTTACAGAAAAATCAAAGCTTCATTTTATATATCTATCTTTGAGAGATATTTATTGTAAGCTTTCTTTGAAAGCAAAAATACCATTTCATCTTGTAAAAGTGTTGCAAACACTGTGTTCTTGAAATCTTGAGAGTGATTATGAATCACTTAAGATTTGCAAGGGTTTTGACTTGTGAAGTCTGTGTAAAATCTATGGAGAATTGCTCCATTTGTAAAGAGGTTGCTAGCACCCCTGTGAAGCTAGAAGATAGTGGAAATCTCAAGTGAAGCTTGAGGAGTGGATGTAGGCTTGGTTGAAGCCGAACCACTATAAATCTGTTTGTTTCCTCTTCCCTAATCTCTTTACTTTCCTACTACTGCTATAGCTATCTAATATTCATGTGTTAATCATTTGATTTACCCTGTATGTTAGTTATACTTCATTGTTATTTTGCTTGATCATTTACTGCTAAGTTCATCATTGTGCTCGTTAATAATTGGTTGTACTAGTAGTTAATTTTATTGGAGTATTATTAATTTTATTTTGTAGAAACCTAATTCACCCCCCTCTTAGGTTGCCTTTTGGGTAACATTGTCTTATGGGCAAATATTGTATCCTTCTCGAATCTCCTCCCACCCTAGCCACCTTTTGCTAGCGATTTGGTATCTCTAATGATGTCCATATTTGTTTGCTCAAGGACTCCGATAGACTCGAGGGTGGCTTCAACTTTGCATGCCCCTCGTTGCCATTACTGAGAGAGGGGTAAGATTTCTCCTTAAGGGAATGCATGAGTTCTTGGTCCCTTGCCCCTATTAAACCGAGCGCAAGGCACCCATCTTGGACAGATGGAGATTCTGTTCATTTATGTTCTCACAGCCTACAATACCAAGGCCTTAACTAAGGACCTTAAGTATTACCTGAGGCCAAAGAGTGCCTCAAAGAAACTTATTAACCTCCTTCAAAAAACCAATAAGGACCTAGAAGAAGACGTTGTGACAATCTCTGGGAACTGGGAATTTGAGAGCTCTCCCAATACCTGGCCTGTACCCAGAACCTTCGGCAGAGCAAGCCCTTCTTGTTTCTTAATATTTATTTTC